CATACACAGGAATCCCATAAAAACACTAAACTGGAAGCCATAGCGTACATGCAGAGGACCTGGTATAGACCCATGCAGGCGCTGTGAATCCTGCTTCAGCAGGACAGCATGTCTTACTTTGAGTCAGCTTTGCTGTCTGTTAGGAGGACTTCCTCCTCTTTATTCACAGGACAGTTTTAATCTCTTTTGTCATATACTGCATTCTACTTGTCTTATAAATCCACAACGCCTTTCCAAAAATATTGGAATTCAGAAACACATTAACATGGCATAAACCAAATACCACACAGCAGCTTGGGCAGTGAATCTTATTTCATTACTAGCAGGACCTCTATCCATCCCTCAGTGTTAGTCTCTTGTCAGATATGTTATTTGCAGACATTTACTCCCTGGCTGCCATCTATATTTTCCTTGTGTTCATTGCTACCTTTGCTCTGCAGAAGCCTGTTGGTCTCATGGTTTTGTTGCCTCTCAGTGCAGTGATCACAAACCAACTATTGTGATTGTCTCTGAGCCTTTGGAAGGGGCTATAATATAGATGTTCTGTTTGCGGCTGAGAACTCCACTGACATTTTGACCACTTGTGGGTTTCTGCATTAACCACCCTCTACTGTACAACCAAACTTCTCTGATGTGGTATGAAAACTGCACTCACCTATGGGTATAGAGATAATTTAGATACCATGTTGGTTTAGCAGAATAATAGTAGTAGGGTCAACTCTAAGGCCTGTGAACCATCCCCCAACCATAGGCTCTGGCTTATTTTTTTAAATGCAGATGTATATAGTTTTTGGAAATCTCAACTCAATAGAAACATAAATAAATAATCTAACATAAAACTGAGCTAAGGACCGAAATAGATTATTTATTATGTATAGTGTTCTGCCTACATGTTTCCTTACAGGCCAGAAGAGGGCACCCAATCTCGTTATAGATAGTTGTGAGCTACCATCTGGTTGCTGGGAATTGAACTCAGTACCTCTGGAAGAACAGCCTGTGCTCTTAACCTCTGAGCCATCTCTCCAGCCCTACCCTCTAAAATAGATTTTTTAAAGAACATAAAATAGCCAGGCATGGTGGCACGTGTCTTTAAAATTCCAGCACTCAGGAGGCAGAAGCAGGTGGATCTCTGTAAGTTCATCACCAGCCTGGTCTTCAAAGTGAGTTCCAGGACAACCAGAGCTGTTACACAGAGAAACCCTGTCTTGACAAACAAAACAAGAAAGGAAGGACAGAAGGAAGGAAAGAAGGAAGGAAGGAAGGAAGGAAGGAAGGAAGGAAGGAAGGAAGGAAGGAAGGAAGGAAGGAAAGAAGGAAGGCAGACAGAAAAAAAGAAGAAAAGAAAAAGAACACAAACACACACTGCCCAACAAGCATATGAAGGACTTCTTAAAATGAATAATTATCAGAGAAATGTAAATCATAGCTACTACAAATTACCATTCATGCCTCTTAGAATTGCTTTAAACAAAAAGTTAAGACAACAATTAGTGAGGCTATCCATAAAATGGACACTTGTATGCTATTGCCAGGACTGAGTTGGTACAACCATTTTGGAAAAATAGATGTTTCTCAAAGACCTGAGACTACCAATACCACATGACCCAGTAATTTCACTTCTACTATAAATCCATTGAAAATGAAATCAGCACCTCACAGAGATATCTGCACTTCCATATCTGGTTTGAATGAGAATGGCCCTTATAGGCTCATATGCTTGGTTCCTAGTTAGCAGAACTATCTGAGAATGACTTGAAGGTGTGGACTTGTTGAAGGAGGTGTATCACTGCAGGTGGGCTTCGAGATGTCAAAAGTCCACACCAGACCCAGTCTCTCCCTCTCACCCTTTCTCTCTCCCTCCTTCCCTCCTTCTTTCTGTGCCTGCTGTCTATATGGATTAGGATGTAGCTCTCAGCTACTTCTCCAGTACCATGCCTGCCTGCTGCCATGATGATAATGGACTATGTAATCAAGCCCCTAATTAAATGTTTTCCTGTATAAGTTGCTTTGGTCATGGTGTCTCTTCACAGCAACAGAAGAGTAACTCTGGCAATATCCATTGTAACAGTCTCACTAGCTATGATATGCAGACAATATAAATAAATAAAGGAGATTGGATATGTATATACAATGGAATATGATTCACCTTTGTGGCAATATGGATGATTCTGGTGTGAATTATACATGAAAAATACTTCATGATCTCTTGTATGTTGAATCCAAACTTCAAACTCATAGGAAAAAAGAATAGGATGGTGGTTGCCCAGTGAATAAAGGTAATGAGTGGGAGATAGGTGACAGAACTCAAATGCTATAAAGATGTAGCTGTGTAGGATGACTAAGTCATGGCTAAGCTTAGAGACTTGCGGTAACTGTATCTGTTACCTCTCCATTGCTGTGATAGAACACCATGACCAAAGACATCTCAAGGAAGAGAGAGATGATGTTGGCTTATGGTAACAGAGGGCTAAGAGTCCACCATGGTGGGAAGGCATGGAAGCAAGAAGTCAGCACCGTGGCAGGATCAGGAAGCTGAGAGATCACATCTCATCAAAAGCACAAAGCAAAGTGAGCAAACTGTAAGTCCCATGTGGCTTTAAGCTTTCGAGATCCATCTCCATTATACTTCCTCCAGTAAGATTGTACCTCCCAAAGACCTATTCAAATAGAGCCACCAACAGTGTTCTAATATCTGAGCCTATGGGGGACATTTTGTATCAGGCCTGGCAGAAATGAAGATATTTTAAAGAGAAACTCGCCTCTCTTCATCTGACTATGAGACTATTGAAAGAATGGACCCAAAAGAAATAGGAATTTCCTCAGAAATCTCATGCTGGGAGAAGAAAAAGGCCCCAGGAAGAGGGGGAGCTTGACTGCTGAAAAAAGATTTCACACCATCCTAACAACTTGCCAGACCACCTTACAGGATGAGATTAAAGCCCAGCCAACAAGAGTCAGTTGTAGGCAGGACCACACTTTGCCTGGGACTGCTTTGCTATGCATATCCTTGGTGCTGCATTTCAACTTTACTCTTTCTTCAGGATTTCCCTACACACAGACTTGGAGCAGGGTAGATTCACTGAATCGTTGTGTCCCTCTTTCCAATGAGGCCACATTGAATAAACCTCCCTTTTCTGTTTTCTTTTAATTTGGCTTTTTAAAACTAGCTTATTTAGAACACGTGGCCAGATCAAACATGAAGCACAGGTTGGGATCCCCCACCCCCAATTCCCCATCCCTGCCCATGCTCAATAACAATTTCTCATTCTAATCACTGCAATCAAACATATTGCATTGTGTCCTGGAGGTTTGCTGGAAGAATAGATTTAAGTGTTATTGCCACCAAAGAAAAGAAATAAAAAGTAACTGAGGTTGTGTGTGAATTTTCTGCACCAGTAAACATTTCCGTACAACCTCAAAGAGAGTTGGTAGAAGTATGAATTTATGAAACGTCATTTGAATGGCTGCAGTTTCACCCAACAGAAGAAAAGAAATACACAAGCTCACAAACAGTCAAAGAGAATAGCTTTCTTTATTCCCCCACCAAATTTTCCCATAAGAAGAGAAAAGGCAGAGAAGCTTCCGCGGAGTAAGGCTGGCTCCCAGCATCCATTGCTGCTTTCACACTAATCGCTTGAGGACATTTTCTAGGTTAAGCATCAGGGGGCCATGAAGCCCCTTAGATCACACAACTTCATACAACAAAATAAACACGAGGCAAAGGGCTTCATAAATACCTAGATTTAATCCTGCAACAACCGGCAGGTCACTAATAACAGCCCTTCCGTTCCCTTTGCAAGCGGTCAAAATTAATGAAGGATATTGAATTCTGTGCCAAGCTGACTAACAGCAAGTTCACGCGAGATCATTTAAAACAGGAGAAAATGATGCTTGAAAGGGTCCCTGATGAGATTTCCCTTTTTCCTAAGAGACTCTCAATAGCATTCTGCTGCTGCATTTTAAAAACCACTTTCCCAAATTGGGCGCCTTCATTACCATGCATTATACTCACTCTCTCCACTGAGGGGGCTTTGTAAAAGAATGGCACCCCAGTTGTGTTTTCCCATTAAATGTCTCTAGCGTTTCATCTCCGCTCTTAGGACAGTCGATTCATTGCACAGCAACTCATTTCTTTGTCTCTATTTTACCAAATATGTAGTTCTCAAGTGACACAGAGGTGGACATTTTGGGGGGCCCTTCAAGAAACTAAGAAGAAACTGCCAGTACCACCAAGGTTCGCTGGCCACCTTTGTTGGCACCAAACTAAATCAATGGTCACAGAGTCTTTGACTTGGGTGGTAAGATCCATGCCAGGCAGAGCAGAAACACTGGCAAATAAAGCCTGATGCTGTTGTCTGTTTACCCTCTCTCTGCTCGTTCTTGAACTGAGTGAGATTACATTACAGAGGGCAGATTATAGGATCATTCTGTGAGTCTCTGGAAACAGTGTTACCTCTAGGCAGGAGTCAATCTAGAAAAGCTTAGAGCTAAACAGGAAGTGATATGTATTCTCTGCTTTAGAAGGAAACATTCAGCTGTAACAACAAATGTCATTCTCAGTGATGTGGGATATTCTTCAGTTTATCCTGGAAATACACATGCCAATTACACAAAAGTGCCTAGTACATTAACTCACCTAGAGCTGAAGTTTACAGAAGAGAGAGAAAAATATATATGGATGGCTTGGTATCCAAGAATATATTACATTTATATTAAATATAAATATATATATATATATATATCACAAGCAATATATTCATAACTACTTTAATATATCAACATATTTATTAGGCAACTGTGCACATAAATCCTCTAGATTGTATTCATGTGCAAATAAAGTGTTTTGCTGTATTCTAGAATGTGAGCAACAATGGCATTCTTCATCAGCTCGCATTATCTAATAATAAAATTCTAACATCAGCAACAACCAAAACACAAAGCAAGAAAACTGGGATTATTACTACATGGAGCCAGTTCACTTACTTGTGTTTGCAGGCTCTGGGAGAATCACTATGTTCTGTAATATAGTGCAGCAATTGTTCATAATTAATCAAGAAAAGTTTAAATTATCCACCTCATATAAATATTCCTAGGGAATCAAAAGATTGTCTGTCTACTACAACTTATGACCATTTCTATGACATTATTAACGCAAACACGGCATGGTGCCAATTTCACCTGGAAAATCCATTAACGTAGAACACCTCATTCTTCAAAAGATGTGTCATCCTATTTACATTCTTTTACATATTTAAGATAAGTCAGGGGAATTCTGAGAAGGAAAGGGAAATGATTAGTCGAAGAAATATTTGAGGAGAGAGGAGTTCAGGTTTTCAAATTAGGAAGGTGAAATCCACACAGTTCCCTTGACAGTGGCTATAAAGAGGACTCTGGGTGTCAGAACGGTGGGCATTAGCCTGATCTCCCACTTGGGAAACAAACACCTGGTACTTTGCTGATGTATAATGTCCCCACTTCATCCTTGGTACAGAGCTGGGAGCAGCAGTCCAATTTCCACAGGACCACAGAGCTCCTGACATCATCCCTACAACAGAGCTACAGATCCGTAGAAAGAAAACCAGAGACTCTGGAAGCAGTCTCTCTTCTGCCATTAATCAATGCAGGGAGGAGTATGGCCACAATGAACTTGCTAATTCACCTAGGAATAAGAAAACGGGTCACATATTCTCAAGGAAAGGGAAAAATGAAGGAATTAACAATTATCTATCCAGGGTCTACTATTGTAACATCTAATCCATGATTTTGACTGTTCCCAGGTATATTACATGGTCCTTTAAGTCCATTACCTAATCTGATCTTTAAAATAGCTGTATTGAATAGGTACTGTGCTATCCTCATAACCCATGAGACATTTAAACAAACAAGTGAAGAAATTTTGCTCATGACCACACAACTAGTAATCTGAAAACTTGGGACACAAACCACACCTGTAAGTTGCAAAGATGTTAATGGTGAAATCATTCCACACATATGGCAAGGAAAAGATGCAAATATAGTCAGGTGTTCAGACCTTTGTGTCGTTCTCTTTAATGCTTCAATGCCAAGACCATTAGAATGGGAAGGACTCTTTTGTAACCCACAAAATGATTGCAGTCACCCCAAGAATGTGATGAGTATCACAGCCTCTTGGCCTGGAAAAAAAAAGATATGTGCTCTCAACACCAGTTGTTCCTGGTCATTTGTGTTCTATGAAGTCAACATAAGCATGAGGCACTTGGGCCTTTAGGGGCCACGCACAACTAGGTTTCCATGAACCTCTAGTCACATTTCCATCAAACCATCCATACATAAGCCTGTTTTGGGGGTGCTATTGTTTGAAGAGACCTCATAAAAAATATGTTGCTGGTTCACTGACATGGAATCAACTATACCATTACTCATGCCTGGGCAAAGTGCAGCTGAGACATGTGTTTCTGTCACAAGACACCATATAGCCTTTCTACAGTTAGAAACAATGCAACACTTGAGCACTACCGTTAGGGGCCATCTGCAACAGTGAAATCTTCAATGAAGAATCACAAAAATGTGAAAAATGTGGCACTGACGTTGGCCAACCAGCCCATTGTGGAGCATGGACAAGCTGAATCAGTAGAGGGCCACTTTATTTAACATCATCCAGGAACCTGGACATCAGATCACTCAAATCTTCACTGCTCTGTTCATTAGTTTTTGGATTACTAGTAAATCTTGGTGACTAGACACATTTGCATACTTATGATCTGTGACTATCGAGGATCCATTGGGTTTACATAAGGTTTCCAATAATTGCAAAGGATACACAGACCGCACAGTGTCTGCTCAGCACCTTGTTCTAATTTACAGAGAAGCCTCTGACTAATGGAAAGTGCACAGAGAAGAGCTTTACAATAAGCCAGAGGCTGAAATACTGAAGGATGGAAACAAAACTTCAAAAACGAATGACTCACAAACAAAGTTGTAAATTTGACATAGAACAAAAAATTAAGCAGAGAAATAGATTTTATTCCCAAATGAAACTTCAAGGAATGTAATGTTTTCTTAGTAATGCATCAACTCTCTAAAACCATAAGCATGGCTTATTTCTCTTCTATGCCTCCAATGACACATTTGTGCATTAGGAAAATACGGGCCACAGGTAACATTCAGGAGTATCATTCTTACTTGATTAACAGTTGAGTCGTTACAGGAGAAAACAGAAATAGCAAATGCCTTTCACCAATGCCTTTCATCAGGGTCTCCCAAACCGTACATTATTATTATGCCCAGCCACCTGCTGCACTCTCAGGCAGAGCAAGCTCGCCAGTAAGCTCCAGAAACCCGACCTGAGACCACACCAACAATGGACAATATAGAGCTCAAAGATTAAATCAGTCACCCCAAGGGTCTCCAGTCTCAGCAAACAGGAATGGAAGAGTAGAACTAATACCTCTGTAGCTAGCTCTCTCTCTCTCTCTCTCTCTCTCTCTCTCTCTCTCTCTCTCTCTCTCTCTTTCTCTCTCCTGTCTCTCTGTCCATCTATCTCTGTCTCTCTTCCTTATTTCCTCATCTTTTTTAGTTAAGTGCAAAAGCACATGGGAGTGTGTGTGGGCATACATGCACATGTTCTCATGGTACACACACACACACACACACACACACACACACACACACACACATACACCATTTTATGTAGTACTAGGAAACTTTGCCTTCTGATGCCCTAGCTCCCCTTGCCTCCTAGCAATCTCTGGCAAGTTTTCTCCTACTTAGCCACGCACAACTTTCTCCTGCTCTGACCATGCTGGTCTCTACATTATTCACCTTATTTTGTAAATACTTTTATGACTACTTAATGCCAAACATGAAATGCCCAGATCAGGAGGGCAGAACAAGACCTCTGTGAGCCCTGATGTATCTCAGGGGTCTGAAACAGCTCACTGTTGCATGTTAACTCTTCACACAATATTAATTGTGGACAAAATTGATTGAAAAAGAGATGATTGGATGGTATAGTGGGGGGGGGGGTTAAATATAAACATGGTCACTTACAGATCAAATGCTTCATCATGTATAATTTTCAGAATCCCAGATTTATGTTTCTCACCAAAATTTGATTGACAGGGACCTGAATTCATATACTCAATATATATTTAACCTGGTCTGGGCAACACTCTGGCCTAAAATCAGTGTATGAGACACAATGGTAAACACAACCAGTATTGACACTCCTGGCTCAATGACAGAGAAGAACATGTCCCCAAGTTTCAAGCAATAAATTCCAATATTCAGAACCACATTCTTTAGCATGCCCAAGACACATTTTGATAAAATATACAGGAAGTGGGTATCAGAAAATAAAGTTGCTTCACACTGGATTCCCTTCAGACCTATCTGGAAGACACTGTGAAGCACTGTCCATGCCAGAGGAAAGCAGAAACACTCCACCTGAGACATTTTCTGTGCCATTCTCTTAGCCTGAGTGATATTTATCTTGACAGTGTGCTGCTTCTGGCCCTGCTCCAAGGCAAGCAAGGCAAAGATTCATGAGGCTTTGCTCTTTGGGGATCAGTTTTAAGCAGCAATGGCAAGAAGTCTGTCCCAATAAAAACATGTCTCAAGGAAGGAAAATTCCATATTTTTCTTCTAATAGACAGAAGACTCATAAATTTTGGAGTTAAGAAATTCCTCTACTCAAGTGGCACTGCCCCAGGTTTCTTATAAACAACTCTGAGATGGAAAACACAGACCTACTCTTTAAAACTAAGAGAGCATCCTAAATCAAGATTCCAGTTTATGTTTAAAACAAAATCTGGGGGAGAAGAGAAAAAAGAAGCATCTGAGGAGACCTGAGAAATGTAACTCAGTGGTAAAGAGGCTGCCTTTGGGCATGCAGGCTGCCTGCTTCACTCTTCAGGAATGAAAACAAATTTGAATGAAATCAGGCCAAGTGACAAAGCCAGCTTCACCTGTCTACTTAACTCCTTCTGTCCTTTCCTGTAAAGCCACTTATTTACCTGAGCTTCAGGGTATGCCTCAAACAAGTGGGCTGCTATGGCCCAGTCTTTAAGCAGTTAACCAGTTGGATTGAGGAAATATCTGATTGTGTAAACACTTGTTCACATGTATGCACACATATGTGCGTGTGGGTAGACGTCAGAGGTCAGCATCATTGTCTTCCTTAATTGCTCTCCACCTTACTTTTGGAGACAGGTTCTCTCCCTGAATCTAGGGCTCACTTATTCAGCAAGACAAGCTGGCCAAGAAGCCTCAGGGATCTCCATATGTCCATCTCCCCAGAAATGGGATTATGAGCATGTGCTATCATGCCAGCTTTGTACATAGGTGCTGCAGATCCTAACTCATATCCTCAGGCTTGTGCAGAAAGTACTTTGCTGTCTGAGCCGTCTCCTAGCATCCCTAAATCTTTTTAAGAAGCCATGATATCAGGAGCCATGGTTAAGACATTAGACATAGGCTTTCACCTATAAGAAACGCTCTGTATTACTTTCACCTCTAAACCAAAGTACAAGCCTAAACTCTTCCATTTTAAGCCATAATGGTGTCCAAACTCATCTTTTAACAAGAAAGTACATCTGTAAATGCTAAATATAATAGCAACTGCTTTAAAAACATTTAATTCTCTAACATGGCATAAAAATCATTTCTTCAATATTTTAAAATCAAATTCCTTGGCATCATCAACAACCCAAAATTGAGTTTTAAATGTACAGATAAGGGCTAGAGAGAGTTCAATGGGTAAGAGCCCTTGCTGAGCAAGCATGAGGACCTGGGTTCAGAGGACCTGAGTTCTGAGTCCTAAGACCCACACAAAAGCTGAGAATGGTCTTCCTTGCCTATGACTCTAACTTTAGCTCTGAGATTGAAAGGGGATAAGGAAACACAGGAGGAACACTGGAGTATGCTGAATACCCAATCTATCAGAGAAACTACAAACAAACAAACAAACAAACAAACAAACAGGTGAACTTCAGATTCAGTGGAACCCTGTCTCAAGGGGATAGGGGAGCAATAGATCAGGACAGCTCTATGGGTACATATGTACCACTCTTCCACATGTATATACTACATATATACACACAAACACATACTTTTTAAAGTATAGGTGAGATAAAATATGATAACTATTTACTATTAAGGAATATAATCAATTTATTTAATAAATACCAATATTCTTGCATTTAATAAATTAAATTTTCTAAACACAAACAAGAGTTTAGTTCTTCATGTTAATAACATCTATCCCACTTAGAGTATCTACAGGCATGCAGTAATGAAAATTCTAGGAAAGATAAAGTTAATAAAACTAAGCAAAGGGTAAGGACAAGTATGTGTGACAAGAGCTTAGATCATTATTACTACATGTTAAACCTCTTTCCAAGTCCATATGTAAAACATCATAGAAAATCTCAACATATCTTAAACACTACCCTAATAATCTCAATTCTTTTTTTTTTTTTTTTTTTTTTTTTTTGGTTTTTCGAGACAGGGTTTCTCTGTGTAGCTTTGCGCCTTTCCTGGAACTCACTTGGTAGCCCAGGCTGGCCTCGAACTCACAGAGATCCTCCTGGCTCTGCCTCCCGAGTGCTGGGATTAAAGGCGTGTGCCACCACCGCCCGGCAATAATCTCAATTCTTACCCAATATTTATGAGTTTACTTAAAAGGAAAGGGGAGACATTTAATGCTTTTAATAGACAACAAAAGGGAGAATAAACAAAAAATTTAAATGAAAACAATATAAAACAGTCACAAGACAGTCATCTAAACCAATTGCCATTCATTTCTTTAGAGAACAGAAGCAAAATATGGGTCATACAGAAGGGCAAATTATTTGGGAAGGTTTTTCTGACAGTGATAATTGCTAAACCCTCTCAGAGTAGAATAATGGGACAAAGATCTTCAATGAGAAAATTCAAAATAGGGCAGTATCTCACTGGCATGACCTGACACATGACTCTGCTTATAAGGCAGGAAAATGATTGACAGTTAATCAAGAAAAGAACTTTGAAAATATACAGTGACATGTTTCTAAGATTCTGCAGGATGGCTGGTCACTGAGTATCTTCACAAGAAATAAGCCAAGACAAACACACTGAGTATGAGTTCTGGGACTTCACTAATGCTACATATTTTTTAAGATTTCTAGAGTTGATCCTTCCTACCATTTCATTTCTGTAAAAGGGTGAAATTATGTTAGTTATTTTCTTTTGATACAGTATGACCAAATTTTGGAACACTTAAGATAATCACCACATTGCATTGCTAATACAGACTCAAGCTTCTGCTTCCATGAGATTTCAAAGCACCACACATAATGCAATGAGATCCGTGCTCTGGTAGCTCCTCTGCCATTTCCACCAGCTCCTGTTCTTATGGTTATGATTTCCGCTAATTGCAATACAAAGTTTCCTCTTGAATTGATCACACTTTGGGATGGATTGTGTGAAAGGTTATAACTTGCTACAGAGTGTTTATTCAAGTGACATCAAATAATGTCTCCGGTTGCCTCTGTAAACCTGGCTCCATTTTTCATCAAATAATTTATTTTGATAAAATACAAAAAAACTGTCCCAATGATTCATGTTACTCATTACTTTTATAAATTATTCAACAGAGAAATAACAAATACTCTAGGAAATATAAACTAAATTGAACTAAACACATCAAAATAAATGAATAGTTTATCCTTGATTTTATTGTGTTTATTCAATTGCTGCTTAATTAGAAAAATGCCATTATTTAGACTACAGATCCCTATCACTGTAAAAATCCATGAGCCTCTCCTATAAAACTATTATTAACTTTAGAACCAGTGATTGTTTCCCCAAGCCAACAATAATGAAGACTAAATTGGTATTTCAATAAAATTAAAAGTTGGAAACCTAAGTTATAAACTTTAGAGGGGAGGGGGCTTACCAATAACTATGCAAATAGTTTCTAGATTCTTCAGCATTTGTTTAGATCCTTTTGAAACAATTCTGATTTTACTTTGGTTATTTAAAGGCAGATGACAGAAATTCAACTTAGTAGATATAAATTCTGGAAAGAATAAAATATATTAGCTCTGAGTTCCATTCCTGCCTGAGACTACAGAAACATGTAACTCAATATTAAAAATATTTGACTACCATAATACTGTGCAGGCATGAAGTCCATCATAACTTCTAGGAATGGAGCCAAAGAGAAGTATAAAATCAAGTCAATTCAACTCACTTTTATAGCACATGATTCATTAGTCCAGTCATATGAGTACAGTGATTACCCATCAGCCATCTGTCCAGTTCATGCCACAAATTTTAACACTTTCCAGTTTTGATCTGCACATGTGAAATGAGAAAGTAGCAATGAACATGCTTGTTAAATGCATAAAAATCTAGTGCTATCTTATAAAGGGATCCACTAAGAGAAATTCATGCCCCCCAAGTTTCTATACTTAGTTATATGATTATAATCCAAGGATAGAAGAATGGTTGAGCTTTACTGACTTACTATCCTGTGAGCATTTTTGTGGCAGCTGAGAAATTGTGAAACTTGTATGCAATAAATCGAGTGAAATATCCATCACATAGAAAACGTCAATGTTTGGGGACAATCATTGTGATGAATGCAACAGGATTGGTCCCTACGACACTGGAGTATGTTAATCAACACATGCTACTGCACTTTTGACAAAAACCTAAAATTTGGAGCCCTGTATAATTCCACTAAAGCCAGCAAGGAACAATTGTCACCCATTACTATATCTAGGGTCAAGACAAAGGCAAAATATAATCTAAGGCAATTAATCCAACATCCATCTAGCTAAAAATATATTAATAGCACACAGATAATATGTGATTTTATATGTAAGAATACCTCAAGAGATGTTCTTTCCCTCATCAGGCTTTGATGTTATTGACTAAAGAAGCAGGGTGGGCAATTTCATTATCTTGTTTAGCTTTTGTTTGTTTTGTTTTTTTTTTTTTCTCTGTCATGGAGGCAACAAAAACAAATTATTTGCATGAGCCAGTTTGGCTTCCATACCAGCTGTAACCAGTCAGAGGCATCATGGCACATGATGAGATAGCCAAATGCTCATTGTTTAAATAGGGCCCAATTTACTGGAGTCCAAGTTATAATTAGGGTTTTTTTCTTTGGATTTTAAAAGGCAAAAAGTGAAGACACAAACTCTTAATACATATAATTAAGACAAGCAACCTTAACCTCACAGGTTTTTAGAGACTCTCGCTGTCACTCTTAACACAGGCTTCCTGCTGAGAGCATAATTACAGTTTTTGCTGCACTTCATACTGTCTGCCTCCTAGAGAGCGAACACTGTTTGTTATTATAAGAAGACTGGCATATCCTGCCTCCTCTGCACGGAATGCTTCTCCCTGATGCTGCTTACCTGTTATCTACTCTTAAATGTGAAGGGGGTAGGAGGAAGGCTAGTGAACTACAGAGATTTGGTAAATTCTAACAAGTTGGAATTAATAGAGTATTTTCTCCTCTTCTACCAAAAGAAGCTGATTGTCCCCTCCATTTGACACAATTGCATTCTACACCCATAGCTGCTTTTTCTTTACTATGCCTATAAACTAAGCTAAAATAAAAAGCAAAACCATGGAATCCTAACTACCTAAGCCTCAACAGTGGGAAATTCCATCTCAAATTAAATAGCATAGTTTAAACCAATAAATGTGTGGGCCACATTTACATTTAACATCAAGGCATAACCAAATCTTTCCTACTGGTTGACAACAAGTGCTTTGAGCAGCAGTCGGGTAGGAAAGTGCGTTCTGTTTCCAAAGAGATTCTACGTGTCCTTTAAAATGAAGAACTTGACCTTTATTGAAGCTGTGATAACTACATATTTTCAGTCATGTAAATAGAATGACAGAAAATGGATTTCTTTCTGCCCAGATTTATCACCCTCAGGATTAAGTCACTTTGCAGTGCTGTTAGGCTTTCTTAACTGGCTTTGCATGTCTCACAGGCTGTGACATCTCATTATGTGTTGTAACCTGCTTTGACAGTCTGCATCAAAAAAGGACTCCTCTATAGGTTTAGTATTTCTTTTTCCTGATCATGCCCTAATCTGCCAAGGCTATAATACATCTGAGAACAAAACACACTGTGGTGCTTAAGACATAGAAAGAAATGGAACAACAATTAGCATCTTGCATCAGGAAGGACTTCCTAATACCATGTTCTCCATTTGATACAAATAGCGTATTTGTGATAATGAGAATAGACATGTAAATTTTTAATTTTGTAATAATATTCTGAAGCAAGAATCCAAGTATATATTTTAATATACAAAAAAATTAGTAAAATGACGATATAAACTATGGAAGAACTATAGAGTGGAAGAATTATTGGGCAGTTTAAAGAAATAAAATGCATTTAGGTATACTTTTATTTGAAATTTTTAAAAAGAATTTCATGTATAAGTACTATATCATTTCTACCTCCTTCCTCTCCTTTTTCTTCACCAATTCCCTCTTAAATCTATGGCCTCTTCTTTTTAAATTATTGTTATATACATATACACATGCATATTTGTGTACATGTGTGCATGCACACACTTGGTCTACTGAATCTTCCAGCAATAGAAAAGCCAGCAAGCAGTGTGGGAACATTTATTTAGCTCAGTCCAAATCGCATTGCTCCATGACCCACAGGCAAATACATGATGTCTCCAGCAGCAGAGATTTTACAGTCTGATTTTGTCACTCAACCAATAGCAGTAGCCTATCTAGAGTGGATGGAGGTGTTGTTTTTACTCTTTGCTCTTTGGTCTTTGAGTCTTTCATTGCTCTTTGGGGCCCACCAACCAGCTCCCCAATAAATACATGGAGACTTTTTCTTACTTGTAAATGCCCACCCTTAGCCTGGCTTATTTCTAGCTAGCTTTTCTTAACTCAAATTATCCCATCTACCTTTTACCTCTGGGCTTTTACCTTTTTCTATTTCTGTATATCTTTTCTTTCCTCCTTAGTCCATGTCTTGGCTGGGTGGCTGAGTGGCTGGCCCCTGATATCCTTTCTCCTCCTTTCCTCACTCCACCCCCCTTTTCTTCTTTTTCTCCTTCAACTTATCCTTTCTGCCTGGCAGTCCCAACTAGCCCTCTCCTGCCTAGCTATTGGCCACTCAACTCATTATTAGACCAATCAGGTGTGTTGGGCAGGCAACGTAACACAGCTTTACAGAGTTAAACAAATGCAACATAAAAGAATGCAATACATCTTGGCATCATTAAATAACTATTCCACAGCATAAATGGCTGGAACACCTCTTTGATCAATAGTCCACAACAGGGAAGACTACAGAAGTCTCATGTGTTGAGTGACTCACAGGGTGGTAGATCACCCGGGCACTGGAACTTTTACGTAGCAACACTGTGGCCCCTGGGAGTACCTTTTTCAAAACATGCAGGTATCTTCACTTAAACTCTAATTGTTGGTTTTTTTTTTTTCCTTTATAGAAAGTAGATTTTTTTTAAGCAATGTATTCTGATTATGGTTTCCCCTCCCCCCTACTCCTCTCAGTTCCTCCCTCCATCCCCCTCCCATTTGTATCCATACCCTGTCTCTCTTTAGAAAGCAAAAAGGCATCTAAAAAAAATAAAACATAGTAAGTAAAAAAATGGAATATAATAAAACAATCAAACAAGAAGAAGAGCCAAAGAGAATGAAGAAGAAATACATATAGACACAGAGAGTCAAACACACAGAAATCCCCCTTAAACTGGAAGCCACAATGCATATGCAAAAGATCCCTTTTTTCCTTCCTAATTTCAGTTTTTACTGTTCTTATAAATGTTTTTCCAATCTGTAAGCACTCAATCAAGAGTTAACATACATTGAAACCTTTTTACGGACCCACTGCCATCCATCCCAGCATCAATTGGAGTTTAGATTCAGCGGTTTCGAAGGGGACACTTAAAAAAATTAGCAAGCTCCACTGTAGCACAAACATATCCCATAATCTGTATCAATTATTTAATGGGAAGAGCAATTGTGGGTACAGTGGCATAGAGGGAAACCACTGCCTTATTTCTATAACCCAAAGTCATTCTCCATGAGCTATCCCACTTCTCCATCCCAGGGTGCATCTGAGGAGCACATCTCCCCATCCCCCAATCAGTTCAATGAATTTGGCTTGAACTGCTTCGATAAGTGTAAGACCAAGGAAATGCAGATTGCATTCTCTCCTGCCATACTAGTTTTAGTGTCCTTGACCTTCCAGGCTGGTCTGTCCTATCACTGTGGCCGGCCAGACCATTGCCTTTGCAATGGCACCATGTGTTGGAGATAGGATGCTTGGCTGGGTCAGTAATTTCAACTTCTACCCAAAGGGAGAGAACAACAACTGTACATTTTGGCTAGATGGTTGCCTACCTCTGAGATGATTTATGTTTCTTTCATCTGTACTGCTTAATAATTCAATCCTTCTTGCACCCCAATGATAAACTGTTGTTTTGTTTTGTTTTTTTAAGGCTTCCAGAAGCTCACAAGCACCGAACAGGATTTCTGACATTTTTTTTTCTTAGATATTCTGGCTCTACACAGGTGTTGTCATATTTTCCTTAGAGTGAACTGGACAGATACCTTTGTCTACTCTGCCCTTCTCACCCCATTCTGAGTGTTTAGCACCTTACAAATGCTGTTTGCAAGTTAGTCTAAATCATTCAGATCCAAAGTTTCTCCAGCCTTGGAATGATCACCCAGCAAAGCCACAGAAGTCCCATATAGCTGTGAAGTTCCTCTACGTGAACTTTATTAACTCTCCTGTGAATACAGCTTCATCAGGCCCAATGAACTGAGCATGAAGCACAGCATTTCATATATTTAGTTCTCTCAGGCATTGCTTTCTCTGTCTTTCTCTGTCTCTTTCTCTCTCTCCTCATTCCTCTCTCCTCTCCCCGCCTACCTCCCTCCCCATCCCTCTCTTATCTTTCAGTTCCTGACACTCATGGGGACCTCAGCTGTTGATAACCAAGTGTGTCTAATGACTCATATTCCCCTCAGGTTATGCAGTCTTTGGGTCAATTGAGATGAGTAATTATATTGCTCAGTTGCTCTACATCCAGAAGACTCAGACTGATTCCATCTGGCCCTGTGTCCTACAGCCTCACAAGCCAGTGTGTGATGTGTTCTTTCATTTCTTACTTAGAAGTCTTTCCGAATTCAAGCAATTTAGTCCCACAGCAGTTCATGGTTATCACAGTTTGCTGTACTGGGCCATTATTAAGGCTTCTTGCTAGATGTTAGTCATGGATTTTTCCCTTCCACTGAACTAAATGTCAGGCCTGAAAAGTGTCTTCTAGGACTTT